CCCCCCCGCGCGGGGCGCGCTCCCAAAGCGGGGCCAGGGTCGCACGACGCCAGGGTGATGGGGAACCACGAGCGCCCCCGTTTCGGGGGCCTCGTTTCGGGGCCGCGCTCACCGGATATTGAGGCACGACAGCATGGCCGTGGTGCCCCCGCCGAAAACCCACACCGTGAAGAAGACGATGAGGAGCGTGGTGCTGAACATCATCTGCCGGGCGTAGGTGGCCGTGTCGCGGATGGCCAAGGCGAACGCCATGGCTCCTCGCAGCCCTGCACGGGGACAGCACCGGCAGAGGAGTTGGGCTAGCCTACAGGATGGGCGACCACCTCCACCTCCCGCATCCAGGCCAGGCACGTGGACTTCCCAACCTGGACATACCCGCGCTGCCCAGCCTCCCCGCGCGCCTCGCTCAGCTCTGTCCACCAATGGGACACTCGCCATCAGAGATCACAGCGCTGTAACAGTGAGGCTTTAAGCTTATGCTGTGAAGGCTGGTGATACCACCACCGTTTTCCAGTTAAATATGCCCAGAGAGGCCAACTCTCCCTCCCACCCCTCTGCTCCACACCATTCACTCAAGTGCAGGGCCAGAAGATATCGTAACTATGTCTCCAAAGCGGGGCATTAACTCTGGCGAGCCAAAAGGAGCCCTTTCCTCCCCAGCCTCTTCTCCAGACATTCTCCATGAGACGGCTAACGTTGAAGGAGGAATATCTCTGATCGCTGTGGGGCCGGGGGGGGGGGGGGGGGTGAGGACATGCAGATGGGCCATACGTTTGGAGACAAGGACATGCTAACATACCGGCAAACATCATCATATGCTGCAAATTTGTTCCAATCTTATTTCTTCTCCCCAGATTCAGTAAAAATGACAATGGGTAAATATTGGCAGCTCTTCCTAGGAAGATAGCAAGCTACGTTTGCATGCGTTAAGGAAACCGAAAAAACGCCCCTTGTATCCCACCTCTGGGCACACACTCAATTCCTACTGCGCAGCAGAAACGTTGAGGAGCTTCAGAAACACATCGGTCCTTTCAGCGCAAAGACAGTAACCCAGCTCCAAGTGCGAGAGCAGCGTGAGAAGAGCACGCTACCGCCTCACCGAAGTGACATCCACACTGCAATTCAGGCACATCGTACCGAGAAAAGCACAAAGACACAGGATGAGAGAACAGGTTAGACAAGACGGAGGGGAGATAAAGCACCGCTTCCCCCTCTGTGCTCTCCCTCTGCACTCGTTTTCCACCACAAGACACAAGTGTGTCTTTTGCGAAGCTCAAGTTATCGCAGCTACCAGGACGCCTCTGACATTCCCCGGCACACCACGCTTCACAGCTGGGTTTGAAGCTTTAAGCCCAATCCAGTTCCCAAAGATTATTCAGCAAAATGAAAGCAGCAGTCATGGAGGGGGAAAAAAAAATTCTAATACTCTCTGTTTTCATAGCCTGGGAGATATAAGAACACCAGCCCCTTCATATTGCTTTTATCTTTGAAGCTGTGTCTTTTAATACCAGCACCCAGATGGCAAAAATAATCTTGGAGCCAGAATTCAGTGCAGCCTAGAATAATATGTAAAATGCTTCCAGCTTTTATGTTCTTTCCTGAACATCAGCAATTTGCATAAGAGACGTATTTCGTGATCTCTCTCGTGAATGAGCTATTTCATCAGCAAGTTAGCCAGTTCCTGCCGAAGAGGCACCGCACAAGATTTCCACTGAACTACCCAAATGGCTCTTCCTTGCTCTGCGCTCCCTTCTACCCCGCTGCCGCCCTGCAGAAGCCAATCGGGGAAATTCAGCAGACCCCACTGCAACCCCCCGCACCGACACTGGCAAAGCTAACAACATGTTATTTGTCAGTGAAAACCTGCCTCCATGCAGGCAAAGGGTGAAAAGAATTTCACGCAACTGAACTGGCTCGATACGAAGCAAATTCTTTCCAACGCTCCCTTCCCCGAGACCCCAGGCGCGTTAGCTTGCCTCCACCAGCACTAGCTTGCAGAAGGGGAAATCCTTTCTCACTGCATCATTCAGAGGCTTCAACACTGCAGCTTCAACTGTGCTAATTTGACAGCAACTTCTGTCAGGCTTAACCAAATGGAATAGCAGAGAAAAGAGGAAACAAACGGCTTGCTGTACCAGGAGGTCCCTTTTTGCAAAGCCACTACTGTTTTCTCCCGTACCACATCGCCACGTGACAGAGCTCAGCGCCGCAGCCCATCGAAGGCCGAGTCCCCGCAGCAGCTGCTTCTAGCGCCCAAGGAAGCAGACAAGACAGAACACAACAGAAAAGCTGGGGGGAAAAAAACTCCATCTTTTTAAAACAACCAGAGAAGCCACAAGGAGAAACCCTCCCTACTTTTAAAATTAAAGCTAGACTGACTGAAAAAGAAAATAAAAACCACATTTGAATGAAAAGCACAAACTAGGAACATGGCACCTCTCCCCTTCTTTTCTTGTTTTATCAAATGGAGTCCTCTAAAGGATACGAAAGCGCCCACGACGAAGGTAGGGTTAAAGACGTGGTTCTGGAAGGTGAACAGGGCAAGTCCCATGTAGGAGAAGATGAAGTTTTCCGCCAAGAAATTCAGAAGCTCGAACAACTGAAAGAGGAAAAACAAATTAAAAGCGAGCTAAACATAGCACTGATTTAACAAGAAAAACATGTTAGCCCACTCATCACGCAATAAACACTTCTGTAAAAGCAACTCTAGTAAAATCCAGCTGTATACAGACAGATGCACCTAATTCTGGCTAAAAGGAAAGAAAAAATTACTGAACTTGAAATTCAGAGAGGTTGAACGGGCCTGAGCAGCTCTTACCTGCTTCGTTCTGTGTTGGGACTCAGTGGATAAGTTGTTATACGTGTAATGGGCCTGCGTGATCCCGCAGAAGAGCACAGCCACCACACCTGGGGAGCAGAGCATCACGTTAACCTCCGACCACGGGAAGGGACCGAGCTGCACACTGACACTGCAGGGGACTCAAAGCAAGGCTCGCACAACCAAGAACCATTGAACTTGTGCAAGCTGAGGGCGAACACCAGCTGCGACTGACACAGGGAGAAGCGCAAGTCAGCAGCAGCACCACCGGCACCGCGGATCCCACCCCAGGGATGCGCTGGAGCTTGCCTGTGAAGCCACACGCTTCGGCCAGCAGGAACGTGCTCCAGGACATCAAGAAGAACAAGCCCGTCTCCAGCAACGGGAACTCCCGGAGTTTGGTGAACTTGGTGACGTTGCAGACTGTCAAGGACAACTTGGAGAGAAACTGTAGGCCAAGAGAGTATCAACTCTAGTTATACGTCATTGCAACCCTATACACCGAAACACGCTATGTCAATGCTTTTCATTAATGTAGACAAAAAAAATCATGAAACTTTGGATCTGGGAGAAACGCAGCGCAGTAAAACAAGAAGCTGTTAAGCAAATACTTGGAAAAGCCAACGAAAAGGATATTAATGCTGTCACAACTCCAGTAGCTGCCCCCATTGCAAAAGATCCACTGAAAATCCCCAGGAAGATCCCAATAGACTTGAACATCGCCGTGACATCAAACGTGTGGCTGTTGTCACCCGCTGGCTGGTATGCAACAATCGACCTGAAAAGAGGGAGAAAAAACACACACAGGAACAAAACGCTCATTAAGTCTGCAGGGAGAGGGACAACCCCCGGCCCCGCTCCTTGGGCCACGGTGCAGCCCTGCTGCGCTCCCAGCGCAGGCCGCGCTCTCCTCGCGCGAGGAATTTGGGATCCACCTTGGGATCTGCTCCCAGCTGGTGTCTTGGCCACCCCTCCCAGGCCAGGCCCTGCATTTGCTCCTTCTAGATGTTAAAAAGCATCAGGCCAAGAATCATCTCTTGTGCAGTCACCTGTTTGCTGGGTGACAATTCTTCAATCCGGATAGAATTTGGGGAGGGGGCACCAGCCCTCTTTAAGGTCAGGCACTTTGGGACCACAAAGCGTTCCAGCAGGAAGCCTACATCTCTCTCAGTTGATGGGAATACCCCCTGGAGAACCCTAAGTCACTCACTTTTATTGCATTTAACGTGCGTTACATTTATTTTGCACAGTTTCGAGTTCTGAAGTGAAGTATCACATGGCAACAAGGCAAATGGCTCAGCGCCAGTTTCTAACAGCAATGCTATTATCTTTATCAACCAAACTTTAACATAGCTTTTTTAATGGGATGACAAATTAGTCAGCCGTGACGGTACTCCATCCGCCCAGGCTGATTACATTTCTGATACTTCTAACTCTTGATCAGCTGAGTGCTATGAGCTATGGTACGAGCTGCTCCACCGTTTCACCTGGAAGGATGCAGAAGACGCAGAAGAGCCCGTATTCATCTTCTAACCCCCTTTCAGTACTGACTCGTCATTAGCTTTCTCAGATGTAAACTCACTGAAAACACTAACCTCCTAGTTAGCGCTGGCTCTGTTAAAGCTCTTGGACGTGAGCTCTACACAGTTGCTGCTTCACCTCCTGAGCTACGCTGGGACGGAAAGCTACGGTCTCACGCGCGCATCCTGCGGCTTTCTGCCCTATTCCCAGCCGGACGTTCCCGGCAGGCTGACCGAGAGGTCTGCCACTTCCAGCACCTAACAAAGCTGCGCTGCTTCTAGCGCACCTCAACTCCTCTGCCCTGGGTTTGGGTCTCCCACTGTCTTCCACTTTCCATTCCCCAGCACGTTGTTCTTCTGGTTTTTTTATTTTATTTTATTTTATTTTTAAATCCAGACCGGTTTCATTTCTCCTTCATAACTGGCGGAATGGATGACGGTTTTGCATCTTAACCCATTCGAGCTCGCCGCCTTTCGGTTCTGCCTTCGATTCCTCTTTCTCTGCCCTGATCCCGCCGCCGGCTCCCTG